GAAGAAGGTTGAATGATACAATGTCCTGGTGACGTCAAGAGAGAAAATATCCAATCCACGATGTCTGCAAGCCAATAGGAGGAGAAAGTATGCCTTAAGAGAGAGGTGAAACAAGTAACTGGGAGAAATGGGTTTGAATGGAAGTAAAGTAAGGACATGGAGGACCACATTAATGTCCCAGTTTGGAAGTGACAGACGTCTTGGCAGCCAACAGAGCTGGAAAGAACAGATCAACATGGAAAAGACCCTGCAAAAATGGGATAAATGGAAGGTATGGGATAAAGCTGCCCAAAAATCTGAAATCAAGAAGACTGAAGAACCCCTCTCAAAGAGCCAGGTAATGAATTTGGAGATACCAGCAACTGTAGGCCAAAAAGCTGGGAAATCCTGAACCAAAACCAAGGAGTGAAAACCACTCCATTTCCATCAGTAAAAAGTCAAGGAAGAATGGAATGGGGTAAATGAGAAGCTACTCAGCAAGAGAATCCAGTATCCCTCAACAGGGACCAGACAAATGCAGGTGTGAAGGTGGAGGACAAAAAGTGGGTGATGTAGAACTAGCAATTGGGGTTGCTGTATCAGGTCTGGAAATAAGGGAAAAGGATTGAAGGGATCACCTGGAGCCAAAGCAACTGAGGGAACTATGGTTGAGCAGGCCAGTAAGGAACAATCAAAAGGACTCTGCATGAGTGAGGGAGACTATCCGATGAAGTAATCTTATAGGAGGATAAACAGAGAGAAACAGGTGGGACCAATCTTGGCTGAAGGCATCTATTGCTAAAGCCCTAGGATGGGGAACTGGGGACCAAAACTGAGGTAATTTGTGATTGAGGTGCAGTGGCAAATGCATCAATATAGAGAGTACCCAAACGATGACAACATTACAGATAAAACAGCAGGATGTAGGGGCAACTGTGAGATAATCCCTATCTGGTCAGGATGGGAGTGGGCTCAATAGAGAATATTCAATGTGCGAAAACACAGGGATCTCGACCAGGTACTGCCTTAGTGACTGATATAAGCCATCACTGTAAAATTGTCAGAATGGATTATAACCAGACGACCACTGGTGATAGATAGAAAAAAAATGATCCAATGCCCGACAGACAGCCACGAGTTCCAGGATGTTGATTTGAAGAGAACGTTCTTCCACAAACCAATGACCCAAAACCTCTTGGTGATCGACCCATGCACCCCAGCTCTGAAGGGAGGCATCTGTGAAGAGATGTAACTGGCTGTGGAGGAAGAAGCGGGACACCTGCTGACGTATGGGCCTTGTTCAACCACCAATGTAGATCACCCATCAAGGAAGATCCTGTGCAAGGTTTCATTGGTCATGAAGGATCCACTGAAGCAAACGCATATGAGCCCTGCTAAGGGGTATGATAGGTGTCAGAGACAACCACCTCCCCAAAAGTGATAGTACCTCGTCAGTAGAAAGTAAGGGAGCAGACAGAACTGTCCTAATGATCAGTTTCATAGAATGGAGCCTGAGAGGAGAAGGTTGGGCCCAACCAAGATGGTTGTTGATGAAACCACCCAGCTGTACAAGGTAATGGGTGGGATGAAGGAAGGCCCCCTCCAATGTGATTAACCACCCCACCCACACAGCATTGAGAAGGAGCTGATACGTAGGACTGGTTAAAATGGGCAAGAAGAAGCCAGTCTTCCATGTAAGCGAGCAATGGGGCAAACCACTCGACAAAAACATATGGCATGGAAGCCAAACTGGGCACTATAAAGGTATACTATCCCACGATGGGCAAATTGGTGGAAGGAAAACCCTCGTGACCCTTGTGGAGCAGGTACAACAAACCTGTTGGGTGAAGAGGTCGAGTACTGCCTTGAAAGACACTGCCATGACCAGGGATCCCAAGGAGGAGGATAGAAACAGGAGAGAGGGGAAAAAGGTGTGATAAAATCCACTGATAGAACACCACGAAGCTGAACTTTGGAGAGGAAGGTGCTGCTCCAATGAACGAAATTTGCCGGATGAGCTCACCAGGCAGTTACCGAAACTGTTGCCTGCATACCGTGTATCGTCACAAAAAAAAGGGCAAACTGCAGTACCGCAGGAAGTTGAGACAGGCAAAGCTGTAAAAGGCAGGATCGGGAAACGGGACTCGGAGCTAAACCCAGCTCTGTCAGAGACCAACAGAGCACTCGAGAAAGGTGGATCACTGTTGGACAGAAGCCACCCGTGACTCCAAGGACACACTAATCGTGTCACACTTGAAACGTCGTAAAAATAGGGCCATAAGAAGGTCCTGTATATACAGAGCCAGGCGACGGGTCCGCGAGAATATAGTAACGCAACCCAAAAAGTCCTAAAGAGAAGTGAACCACGTGTGTAGGGCCAGACCCGAAAATAACACGCGGTCGACAATGGAAGGAAAGAGGGAGAGGATGTCTCAAGAAAACTCCATAGGGTTCCTGTGAAGAGCCTCAGACAGAAAGAGGATTGAGGTGAGGTATTACAAAGAGTGTCAGGGGAAGACCAAGGCGAGAAAATGGGGCAAAGGTAGAATGAACAGGAAAAATTGGGACCCATCCCCCACAAACAGGTAAAACTGAACCCACAACTGGTAGTCCAGAATTTGGGTGCTCGCCATAAAAGTCACAAGGGCAGACCGACCCGAAGGTCGCGGGGAACTAGGTATACCAGGGTGGCAAAACACAGTGTAAACCCGAACATAAGAGAACGGGGAGAAAAACAAGGTTGAGAGGTAGAAACAAGCAATAAGGAAGGTTGCGGGTCAAAATAACTATGGCAAGAGATAAAACATCACATATCTGAGATTTAATCTCCGAGAAAGCTGACGAGGGCTGAATATAATCCTCAGGAAGATGTGGAAAGGCATGGCGATCTACGTGGGGGGGGTGTGTGAAAGAAGATAAAAATTTTGTCAGCCTGTGCCTGTAAAAGTCTCGAAAAGTACTGGAAGAAAAAAGGGCACGAATAAGAGACAACGTGTGTTCCATAAAATGCTCCATCTCCCCGTGAACAGGTCCAAAATTCAGGCTAGATACTAAACAAGTGAAAAATGCATGGCAAACACTCTCAAATAAAAGTGAAATTAAATTAAAGGAAGTTGATTAAATAAAGTTAACCACTTCTAGGGTAATCAGTGGTCTGAAGAAAGACGTCTGCACTCGAGTACTGCCAAACAAGAAGTGATAGTTCGGTAGTGGCACATAGAGGGAGTCACATGATAGTAGTGTTTTCCTATTAGTGGAGAATTGACCCATGATGATTTGCATGAGAGACATGTTGGAACTTTGGATTCCAACAGAGAGATGTAGAAGGCTTGTGGCACACATTTTGAGAAAATTTCACATATAAAGGGCAGCACAAAAAGGAAAATGTAATCTTGTGAGAGGAGGGGAAGGTACCGTATCAGAAGGCAGGTTTTTTTTTCATTTCATTTCTCGATGGCTTATCATAATACATGATAAATTCATATGGCACGATAATTAAAAGTACGTCAAGAAATGGTTTCACATAATTCTGATTCTATGTAAAACCTACTTATGTTGGAAGACACTAGAATATACATCACTGGCTGTCTGAATTACATTGAGGATGGTTTTCATGCATACATTAGTGTCACTCACAAGCATTTACATTAAAATTAACTTCTGATTAGAGCAAGCTAACCACTTAGAGTGAAACTAAAAATCAACTATAGCTGATTAAATATACTTTTCTAATGTTCTTACTTATATAGATTAGAATTCATTGTTTTTTCCAGTTGGGCTTAGGAGAACTAGGCTAATCCTAAATATGTGTATCAAGCTAACAAAGCAAATGAATTGCAATAATAAAATTATCGTAATAAACAATAAATCAAACTAAAAAGTAATGACATTTGATATGCTAAATATTATAATAAATATTGCTAAATAAATGTAGCAATAAATAAAGTTTATTTCATAAAATCTAGTTAGTTTTTTCCACATTTCCTATATTATTAACTTACATAAGAACATATTTAACAAAGAATGATCTTATCTCAAACTATTACTGACAATGTAAATCACAAAGTTTTTCAATTCTGTCATTTCAAATGTATCCTAATTAAGACTGAGCATAATTTATCCCTTCCCAATAACTATAAACACATGCAGCAACCCCTTTTTTGTTTCATCTTACCTTAATTCTACTTGGCATCTAATAACCAGCTGGTTTGAATTCAAAGTTTGGTATGGTATGGTTTATTTGTTAACTATCCTCTAAAATTAACTATTAGTCTAGAAGATATTAAGCTCAATTTAGACTTCTGACATATACACTGGTTCACAATAAATTTTACTTGACTGTAGTCCCAGAATTTAATTTGTCCAATTAGTTGAAATAAGATTAATATAGTTATTAAATTCAAATTAAACTTTTTACATTTAGACCAATCCACAATGGATTTTACTTAATAGTACTCAAATTATTTTTACTCACCCAAAAGGAACCATTGTTTGAGGAAGATTCATACTAGGGAATTACAGATTTCACAAAAACTACAGTTCTTACCTTACTTCTCAATGGAGTAACACCAAGGGGGAAACAATTAATATTATGATTTTTGTAGACATTCAGCATAAAGAAATCTGGCCTTTATGCAGATAGCATAGTGACATGTATTTAGTAAAATGTTAAAATACTTGTAGCTTATTTCATGAAATATAGGAAAATATTTTTTTTAAATAGTGACAAGCAGATTATTATTAGTAGTATGTAAAAACAGATATTTAATAATATTGTTCCAGTTACAATAAAGATGTCTTCTCATATTATAAAATGTCATTACTTATGTTTTACAGTAAAAAGTACAAAACCAACAATTGTACTAAACAATATAAAATTACAGCTAAAGAATTATTACCTGAAAAATATAATTAAACAATTAATTGAAATATAACAAAAAATCAGTAACAACTATAATCAGTAGTGAAAGCCTCACAATACATGAACCACTAAAAATAAAAATAAAATGAATTTTTTCTACCATGGCCTTTGCAGTACTTAATTCCTCTGTTAGATGTTTCAATTTTATTTGTGCTTCTTCTTTTTCTCGCTTTTCAGCTTCCCAATCTTCTTTGTGTGCTCTAACCTAAGATAACCAATCAAATTATATGCATTATTTCTGTCCTTGAGTTCTGATACTTTAAAAAATAATGCTAATGTCTACAGTCATTTACAAAGAAAGAAACCTGTGTGAAATCACTTAACCTTAAGGATCAGCAATTCTTAAAGGTTTACTGAATGTGTGAAATATGATGAAAGTTGATTATTTTGAACTTGCCTGCATTTCTAGAACTTCTATATGCTCTTTTCGTTCATTTCTAACAAGATCTAGTTGATAAACTAAAGCCTCAAAGTTTTGACGCATTTCTTCTTGTTCTTTCTGAAGTCGACAGTTGTCCTTGACCACCTTTTCATAGCTTTGCTTTAATGTCAACTGCTCTGTTGGTTTATTTAGAAGAGCTGAATCACTATGTCTGTATGATCCATGAGTTCCAGCAACAGAGTTGGCTGTTTGTAGTGACAAAGAATTTTCTAGCAGAGAGTCATTACAATTTGAAGTGTTTACTCTCTGTTGTAGTTCCTGGAAGTTAGTAAGAAGCTGTTGAAGATATTCTTGTCTCTCTTGGTTATATTTCTGCCATCGCTTATTCACATCAGTTATCTGAAAGTAAAGAAACACACACACCCATAATAAAACGTTTTAATGAACCAATGTACACCATCAGCTGTCTAACTCAGCTGTAATGAACTAATGCACACCATTAATTGTCTAACTCATCTGTAATGCTTGATTAGTCAACTAATATAAGAGCATTGCAACTGGTTACTCAACTCTAGCACTTGATTAAACAGTCTTAGGGAAATGTTTAGTTTTTATGGCAATTTGTATTTCTTATTTATCTCATTTGCTTTGTAAGTAGTCATAATGAGTATTAACACACCTTAGTTAATGTATTTTTTTATACTTGATAGCACTTAACGTGGTAAGTTCTCAAACTCAGACCAAAACCTTAGTTAGCCAGTCATTATGAATTTGTTTGAAAATGGATTACCAAAATCTAGCACTGGATAAGTTAATCTGTTAAGTCACATAAAATAACAAACAAAAAAGTTCTCAGAAAGAACAATTTTAAAAACCATGAATTGATCAAGATTTTTTTTTATAAGCCACATCACTTGTCAACTGTTTACCAACATCAGTGAAGAAAATAATCCTCATTCATAAGAAATTCAATAGAAACAAACTTTTGTCAAACAATTTACCTCTTATTTATGCACCAATTGTTAATTACTATAAATAATATTCTTATCAGTAATTGGAAATGAAAGAAAAAAAGTCCATATGCAAGTTAAAAACACCCACAAAAATGTGTTAAAAAATAATCATGAACTTTATACAGCCTTAGTATATGTAATTTTTATTTCTTTGGTAAGTTAAAATGAGAAAAATGGTAGGTTAAACAGGACTTATGACATACAAGTTAGCTAGGGGTTATTTAAAATAGGGCTCAGTGAGAAAAAAACTGCTATTAAACCAAAAAATTCTTAAGTGTAAGGCCAGTGTATACATCAGTAAGCGAATTGGATCACTGAATAAGGCCATGAAGAAACTCAGAGTAACAGGACAAATGAGTAATTGGAAGTAAATTACAAGCCTGTAATATTAGACAAAAACAAAACAGCAATTACTTTTACCAGCAGAAAACAGACATCATTAAACTGACAGAAAATTTATGGAGTTTAGGGTGCACTATCAAGGTATTGATAAATATCTCATACCACTTTCAGGGAGGAGTTCAGAAGTAATGAAATCAAAACATGAAACTTGAGTCCTACAATGAAGGGTTGTAGTCAAGAAAACACATACAAATGGAGGTCAAACAGCCTGGATTTCTAGGCATGTCCAGGATACAGGCAAGAACTAACCGCATTCTAAGAAAACTGAAGAAGAAAATATATATGAGTTTGATAGTATATGCCAAGGTTGATGTGACTTCTTAATGGTACATGAAAAGTAGCCAATCAGAAACTAGGAATCACATGCCATATTTATGTGACCTTTTAGAACAATGTTAACACTCAATCAAAAACGTGTTGTGGATATGATTTTGGTTCCTCCTAGAACAACAGTAAGTATAAAAAGTATATTAAGTATAAAAAGCCACGATTTTGAGATAACAAATTCTTCAAGTCTTCAGAAAATGTCAGCCTTAGCACATGAGGAAAACTTTCACTACTGAAACTCCAGTTAAGTTTGCATGCCTTCTCTGCTTCATCTAGTAATGTATCTAGTGTAAAGTATGTCATTACAGTGTTTAATATGAGTTAAGCTACTTGATGATTTGCTGAGTGTCTAGGAGATGTTAATAAGTATATTAGAAGAATTGTAATGGAATACCCAAATGTTGAAAAGAACAATGATGATGTAGGTTTTCTGAATTTGTTCAATTAAATATATATGTTTTCTCCAAGTGTTTTTTTTGTTCTTTACATAAATTTCCTTGAGTTGGTGGCTTGTGAGCCTTATCCATGACTGCATATAATAAGATATCCTGGTAGTAAGTACGTATGCTTGTTACAAGTGTAGTCAAGATGGGTCACGTGGGTCAAGATGTTAGGTGCTTATGTGAGTACTATACACTGTGTGTGTCCAGCTATGATAAACTGTAACAGAGAAACTGATGAATCTCCTCTGTAAAGAATAGCTCTGGGCAGTTCTTGTCGATCCATGAAGACTGAGATAGTATTGGTACATGTTTATCCTCACAGATGACTTCACAAAGTGGACCAAGGCTTATCTGTTGGTCTATACATTGACACAGTTATGAATCATGTGTTGGTGGAGCACTCGATGGCACCATTTTGAGCACCAGAATAGATTCAAATGGATTACAGAGCTAATTTCAACAACCAATTGTCATTTGAGTTGTGTAAAGTGTTAGGAAAGGTGACGACGCACAATCACCTTATCATCCTGTCTGATGGTTTAGCAGATGGGTAATACAAATACCAATTATGTGTGTGTTTGCCAAGTGTATTAATCCTGGTCATTCTGACTGGAATGATCATTTGCAATGCTTTATGATGGCATATATAACAACTGAATAGAGGCATATAGGTGGTTTGCTGAACATGCTCATTTTTGGGTGGATACTTCTCCCTGTTGAAGTGATATATGGTCATCTCTCCTCCCACAATGTCACAGGAATACATGGAGTGGTTGAGCCTTGCATTACTTGATGCACACTAATTTTCTTGCTAAAACTTAGAAAAGCAGCTTGGTGACAGAAGAGATGTTATGACAAGACAATAAATGAATGGCTGTACTAGTGTGGAAATTTGGTGTGACTGTAGTAAGTGCTAAAAGTATGGAACAGCTAAGATCTGGCTGTATCAGTCCACACATTGTACTTCAGCAGATTGGTCCATTGAAGAACAAGTTACAGTGGACACGAGGCATAAAAAATGTATGGAGTATGTCAATAAGCTGCGTCTGTACATAACCAAAGAACTTTTCATGCATTGGCTTAACCATAAGTCTGAAGTTGAGACTGATGAGTCAGAAGGTGTCATCTCAAGTCATACCAACTTGCCTGATGAGGAGAAAAACAGCTGAAAGTACGTGTCTGGCTGTCCCGGATAAGCCAGATGAGGAAACACTCTAGTTAGAGGCAAGAGACAGCTGAAACAATTAGTTAAACAGCATGTTGGCCTCCCAATCAGTATGGGTGTACAGCTAGGTGATCTCTCTCTAAGATAGTCACTGAACAGAGGTTTGTAGGTTGTTTGCTGAACATGACCAAGTGAAGTAGTAATACTTTCTTTCCAAGTTATCAAGTGATGTTGACAATACAATGTATGTACTACATTATCTGATTTTTACTTGATCATCACAGGTAAGAAAGGTTTGTTAATCATAAGATTAACATGACCAAAAGGGCTTAGCAAACTTTGCTTTTCAAACTACAGAGTAGGGTTTCAGTAATGGAGCTATTCTCTGAATATCAGATGATAGCTGATTCATTTACTTCATAAACTAGGATAATCACATGATTGAAAACTGAAGGTTGTTGTGACCTTTGCTTTCCAAGCCACTGAGTGAAATTGTTTGATGTGAAACATTGTCTGGCATTTTGACAGAATCACTCCTCTGATATAGCTGGATGTTGAGAACTCTAAGGATAATGCTGCTTGCTTCTCACTAGATTTTCCCTCTATGTGTGGGAAAATATGATGATTCTACATGCAGTAAGGGAGTTGTGTTCTTCTGAGTGTAAGTTAAGATATTGTAGTGACAACACAGATAGGATTTTAGCTGAAAAGCCACAGTGTGGCTAAATTCTTCCAGTGATTATTTATTTTTTGTGATTCCTGAAATGGAAAATGAGTTAAGTTTTATAACTAATAAATATTGGATCTTTACTGGATTGCAGTTACAGGTAAGTAGCTTGACAAAGTAACTCAAGAAGGTTACCGAAGCAATTTGTTCAAGAGCCAGAGGCAGTATGTGATAATCTACTCGAGTATAACAATGTTCATGTATATAGCAATATATATATATATATATAAACAAATATGTAGGAGGTTTAACACACATGTATGAACATTACCTAAAGTTATTCATGAGTATTATATATCGAGAATGAATAATTTACACAGGGAAAATAATGACAAGCAACATTTGTTGAAACAAAGAATGTGGTCAGACCAGATTTGGGCTCCATTAATTTTCTAGAGCTGTAGCTACACCACTTGCTATTGATACTATTGAACCAATGGACAAAACCCATAACCATGTCTACATTGCTCCTTGACAAAGTACAGCTGCCAATGGTTTTAGAGTGTTTTCCCATTGGTGCCTGCTGTCTCACCTTCCAGATAAACAGCTCTGACTGGCAGAGCTCATCTTAGAGACATCCTTCTTCAAGCAAAAGTCAATTATACAACACCGAAGAATATATGTTCCAACTGTAATAAAGTTCAATGTCAGACTTGTAAATTTATGAAAAAACAACAACAGTACTTTCTCTCTGGCCAAAATGGACAAACTATTTAGTTTTTTTGTTGATAGAACTCCCAATTATTATGGGCATTACTTCTTGCACAAATACTTATTCTTGTAAGCTGTTCCTGTTTCAAAACTACCTTTTCTCTTTAGTTTCTCATCACTTATACATCATAAAGACACATAAAAAATGTTATTTTACAACTTAGGACATATCCTGAGAAAAACCTGAAGCCTCAGTTCCTATACAATGACCACATGACTGATTGACATGTTTACAATATTTGCTACCATTTACCCCTGATAACAGAAAGTCCACTTTCAAAAAGCACTTGGGTTATTGAGTTTCTTTTCTGATAACTGTTGATCCTGCATGCAATGGAATACCATGAGAGACTACTGCATGTTAAAATTAATTACCAATTTCAGTAAAGTTATCTATTCAATGATATCTCCCTTCATTGTAAATATTACAAACAAAAATAGTGTTTTAAAAATCATGCTGGTATGTTACTGGGTTTTTTTCATGTTTGTTTAAAATTAAACAATATTTTCTGCAGTCACTAACATTTACTAGCATATTCTTTAATAACTTCTAAGTTGTATCATTTTTCCCAATTGTGCGTTACATCTACAAGCCACCATACTACAAAAACAAGTAGTTTTAGGAAATAAAATTTAGCAACTTGAACTTATGTTCTAAGATATGGTAAATTGTCTAAAATGACAAAATCATTATAGAAAAAAAGGAATTTACAAGATATTATGTTCAATACAGAAAACTAAGTTGTTAAAACCCACAAGCATAAAAATGACATGGTATTAATATCTATAAAATTGTATCATATTTTTCATTGAATAGAAGTAGTTCAATGAAATTGCTATGGCCAATCTTGGATATAGATACTGCAAAGTTAATT